TACGATGTGTGTTTGACAGCTACGTGTACAATTGTATATTATGTATGTTACGTACATCGGACACTATGTAGACAATCGGTCTATCAAATAGTTTGCCCTTATGAGTAGCGCCTTTCCTAAAATATCACGATCTTCGGTTTTTGAAAAATGGCAGACAGATTATTCACAGGATCGTCTTTTAACGGTGTTCTATATACTCTGCTTTTAACATTGTTATCACGTTGGTTTGATAAAGGCCAGTGGCCGAAAGCTCACCGTTTTTTAAAATATATTATTCGGCTTTTTACATTTTTGATGTCGAGAAAAGGTCAACTTCTTTTATTTATCTAATTATATGGTTTTAACAACATTTTAGAAGGTGGGATAGTCCCTTTAAAGTTTGCTTGCACCCAAGCGGACTGGCAGCTGCAGTCTTTCGGACTGCACACGGTCAGGAGAGTTAATCATTAACTCTGGTGAGTTGAGTGCAGACTCGGCCTCCAGCCTTCAACAACCTTCCAAGTTTGTAATGACATCCGGTTGAATGCCGTGGCATGGCGCAAAGCTGTTCAACTTAATGACCTGCGCCAATGCAGCACAACTTGAGCACGACCGTGAGAAGTTCAGTTTTCGGTCCGTTTCTGTAACTTCAACTGTTTTAAGGATATAAATAGGCTAGGTGCGTGCATATGTTGATACGATGAGCGAATCTAGCAATACCTAGCTGTAGGCACAACAATTTGATTAATACCGTTTAATCCGCCTTATTTGCTTAGCTGAATTCTGCTGTAACATCTGTGATCGCTCTACATACTTGACACTTCTTTCACTCTGACCTCTCCACTCTGCTACCGTCCGTCTAGGCGCCGGCGCGCGGCCATGAGCACCTACCGAGCCACGTGTTGACGCTGACGGTATACCTACTGCGGCGCCGGCTCACGCAGTCTCCAGCCGGCTCAGCCGTAATTGGGTTGGGCGGCGAGAGAAGATGAGCCCACCGTCGCCCCAGGCATCCGCCGCGCGACGCGACTAAGCTGCGACTGATGGGACAAACGAGTGCTGGATAGGCGCTGGAGGCGTGAGAGGAAGAGAGAAAAAGGAGAAGGAGGAGTGGAGAAGAGAAGGAGATAGAGGAAAATGAGGGAAGAGAGGAAGGGGATGAGTATAAGGTTTTGATGACGAAGACGTATATGAGGAACAGCAACAGGAATTTATTGGAAAACGAAAAAACAGGCGAATCGTGGACTGTTTAATTTAATCGGAACGTCGTTGTTAAATATGGACCCTATGTAGATGCATAACGAGAACACTGCAAAACGAATGTACTAACTACGCTCTACAGTTGGCAATACCTAGTTGATAATGTTTTCTTGGGAGCTTTCTAAAATACCTTTGCTGAACAACGTTGTATGGGGGCAAATTAGCACTATGTAGATTCGGAGTGCTGCAATAAGGATTAAGGATATTTTTCAATTCAAAGGGGGAATTTCACCCTCAACATACACGGACGAACACTTCTAGCCGTCAGACATTGCAAACAGATGGAGAGATTAGAAGGAAAAGGTCTTAGTACACCTACTGCAGGTACTTACTACGTCATGGGCAGTAGGGCGGGTCGATGAAAAAAGTTTTCAAGTGAAGAGCGATTTTCCTACGGGCTGATCCATAAAACGGTTAAAACATATTTTTTGCGAATTTTTGAAAAGGAACTGGGCGCGCCGTCCACGGTTTTTCGAGACCACTTTTGCTAATTTTTCTCGTTGTTTGCAAAATTTAGTAGGAAAAAATCGAGAAAGATACTATATTTACCACTTTCCTAGTTCTACATGCTTACCCCCACCTCTTCACAAAGTTTGGAAACCCCAGTGGCAGAATCGTGCTCAGAATAGCGATTAGCATCGGCGATCTGAGCGCAACGAAACCAGCGCCATCTATTGAGCGAGTTTGGCATAACATTGGTTTTGACGGCTTTCCGACCGTTAAAAGCTGACGCAGCCGCTGCCAGGGTAAATTGCCGCTGCCACGTCGGGTATATGGTGTTCTTTGGTGTTCCTAAGTGTCTGGTGTTCCTTATTTGACACTAGGTGAGTTGTACCCATTCGATCCATATACTAAGTTGCTCCGGATGCTATGTGATTTCGCCAAGAAAACAGCGAGATGCTTAACTTTGATATATGTTTATCAGTTAAATTAAGTTTTGCAGACAGATAAAATCAGTCCAAACCGTATGATCATTTTTGAATGCAATGTAGCCAGCCACCTTACCGTCCTAGGACAGAAAATCACACTTCGATAATTGATTCAAACGCCGGCATGAGAGCGCTGCATTGCGTCCTGATGGCACACATGATGTAACTGAGACGTGCTCTCTTAATAACAACAGCGTATGCTGCCTAAGTTAGGAGCCGGACGGCTCGCTCCACTGCCTGAGTAGTGAGTATGGGTATGCACCGGATCGAAATTAATTTGCTAAGCAGCGGGTCGAAGGTCACCCTCGTCCCTCTTCCAGCGAGATTGCTATTGGTGACTCTGTAACGCGTTTTTTGGACCGATCTATGAGCTGCATGTAGTGCATGACTTGTTTATTGCAAAATGCTGATAGAATCGCATATCTTTGTCTCCTGCCTCATTCACTTCTTATACTTTTTTGCCGTAAGTGTCTCGAGTCTTTTTATCACCATTCCTTAGTTCAGCAAGCATCGCAGCGTATGCACTGTTTGCTGGCTGTCTGTATCGGCTAGTGGCAGTCCAAAAAAGTTTCCTATAGTGAGCCCGGTACTTATTCCTGTCGATCACTGGGCAAATGACACAGACCGATGAGCTGAGAGGTCTCGCAATAGCGGGATGCTTTGGAGTAATCCGTCTCTGCAATGTTTACTCCGTAATTTCGGACCACATTGGGACATAGTGAACTACATTGAACTCGGTGATAGTTCGAAGCTGGTCAATATATGTTGTATGATGGGCGATCGCGACGGAATACGTAACTTGCAAGCTGCCAACGTAAGCCATTTTACCAAATTCAAGGGCTCAAGCTTCCTTACTGACAGCTACCTCAGGATTTGTCAAGAGGTGAAGTCTGCTTCCGGGCTGTTCAGAAGTGTTCTCTGATCTGGACTGCATGGCGTTGCCCGAAACGGCACGAACGGTTCCTGCTCGATGCACAGGCACTCTTAGTAAATGGTCCACTGATCGGCGCGGCTTTAGTCCAGTGGCTTTTCCACAAGTCTTGTAAACTTGTTTAATAATTTGGCCCTTGTCTGATTTTGGTGTAAAATAGAATAAGCACTGACTACCGGCTCATTTACTGAAGCAATATGCTCGTCCAGCAGGCTCGTCCTAGCCGATGATCCAGCACGGCTATCCTATTTATCATGATAAACGACGCATCCTTATGCACGTAAAATGCAGAAGGGCATTTCCTTTGTAATCACTTGCCTATCCGAGAACAGAATGTGAAGTGTCACCGAGGACCACCACGCGGCATTAGTTCCGTTTCGACATGGAGGCTCCTTTCCACTAACTGCAACAATGTCACATGATTGGGATCACAAATTGCGCCGGCGACCGCTTAGCAGCTAATACTGCGGAGGTCAGTTTCCCTCAAAGCTCGATGCTCCACTGCTTGTTGCGGTGGCCCAGCCCCAATAGGTCATCAAAATGGGATCTGATGGTCCGATGAGAACGCGCGACTCGGGCAGTGATATGATACGCGGATCGCCGATCAGCAGGATACCTCGCAACTCATCCTCAGTCTGCTGTCAGATGAAGCCGGGCTAACTTAGTACTTATTCTGCAATTGAGCTGCTACTGTTCAGTTCTAACACTAGGTTTGCATTAAAAAAGGTTAAATTTACATGCAAGAAATCGAAGCCAAAACTGAAAATAATGCTGCTGAAGTCTCAGCGCAGAATTAAATGACTAATAGGTCCAGCGGACACTATCGCACTTGGCGATTAATGGCTGTGCTAAAGTCAGGTGAACCCCTAATATGTAAATTTCATGGCTAATTTAATTGCAATTGACAGCTTTCACGCTATATACGCTCCTGTGCCTCACGTTTTTTCATCAGCGTCCTAAGATCGCATCAGCAGAATGCATACAGTGTATCAGCCCAGTGCACCCTATTCGTCCCTATTATTCGACCCTATTCGTGCACCCTATTCGTCGGTCTATAGCGGTGTGCCAAATTTGAGTGCAATCGACCCGGCCGTTTTCGAGATCTGGAAGCGACACCCTGCACGTGCGCACGTGCAGCCTAAACAAACGTTTAGGCTGTAGGCGTAAGACGCAGGCGTGCAGGGTGTCGCTTCCAGATCTCGAAAACGGCCGGGTCGATTGCACTCAAATTTGGCACACCGCTATAGACCGACGAATAGGGTGCACGAATAGGGTCGAATAATAGGGACGAATAGGGTGCACTGGGCTGATACACTGTATGCATTCCTATATTGCACTGTACTGTCTCGACCGACGCAAGGTTAACAGTCCTCTCAAGAGATGGCGCTGCGATCGAGTTGCGGAAAACCGATACAGAGAGCATGGCACCATGGCCACAGTTAGAGAGATACAGCCAACAGACTTACAGAATAGGTTGAGGATTGAGGAATAGCTGAAGCTTCAAGGTATATATTTGAAAATAATTAATTACATGATATTTGTGCTCAAAACTCGCGTGCAGTGAAAATGTAGCGAAAAACTCGGTTGATTAATTGGCTGCGGCGACCCGCAACCTCAACCAAAAAAATTGAAAAAATTCACACAGTCTTCTTGTGACATGCTCCGTAGGAATTTTGGTCTTCATTTTGTGTCCTCGAAAAAAAGTTCTCGGATGACCCGCCCTAATGGGCAGGGCCTGGTGGGCATTACAATATGCACATCGTGATTGGTGTCATGTGATTCAAGTCAATATCATGTGAAAGCTCTGTCTTCCTACATGATGTGTTTCGGTACACTATTTGTTGTTGTTTTGTTAGTTGAAATTTTCTTTGTTCTGACATTGTTCTGTTCTTTCCTTACAGTTTCGGAAAAAGAGATCCGGCAATGGTGAGTGTTGTGTTGAACTGATGACTTACAAACCGTATTAGCTCATGTCTCATGAATGCACGTACCAATTTTAATTCAACAAATTTAGGATGTCAAACGTATACCTAAGTCTGGTTCAAGTCTACCGACACACCAATCGTTAATCTGTTTTCAATTTAACCCTCGCCGGCACAGGCCATTTTGCGTCCTTGGACGGCACAAGGGGGGGGGGGGTACGACCCCCCCCCTCGCGTTTGTCCCCTGATCGAGCTAGAGCTTCGCGGAAAAAACGAGCGTGTTGCCCTTCACGAGAGAAAGCCGATGATACCCAATTTTAAGGTCCTAGGTCATCGGGTGACCTTCCAGGTCAGGTCAATGACCCGAAAACCGGGAAAATCGGGACCTGTTAGAAAGTCGTAAATTGTGGCTGCTATGTGGTTTTCCGGGGTGCGATCACGAATATCGTATTAGTTTTGATCAGAGATGATGTCTTTAAGCATTTAGACCAGGTCGGGTCAGGTCAGGTCAGGTCAATCGGTAGGGGTTGTGACGGGTATTCGTAATACGTGTCAACCGCCTCTGACAGCTTCGTAACATGTTACGAAGGCACCAAAACTACTTCGTAAATGTTCAAATGGTTGCTAAATTCGAATTCAGCTCCAAAAACTAGCCTAGAAACATGTAAAACTCGAAAAAGTGAACCGAGGTCATCCGAGGTCACCAAAGGTCAATGACCTGACCTGACCTTCAGGTGACCTTGACACCCACCCTAATGTATGGGAGCAACATCAAATCACATGTTTGAACGTTTGAAACCACGAAAAGCTTGCAAACGCGCGGCTAATGCGAGCCGACATACGCCGAATCGCGATTCCGGCCAAACATGGTCTCGGAAAAAGGTCACAGGTCAAAGGTCATTTGGGTCAGGGTCATGAAATTTTCAGGGTAGGTGTAAAATTGATCAATGCGAGGGTACTGAAAGTTTCGTTGCGATCGGCCGCTTTTTACGCGAGTTATTTGCGAAAAAACCTTAGGGGGGTGCATCAGCCCCCCCCTGTGCCGGCGAGGGTTAAGGGATTTGGCCAGCACTGACCAATGATCATGCTCGTATGATGTATTACCACCACACACGACTGGCGAGTATCAGTTTCACTGGTTCACTAGTAGGTACCAGTGTCAGGGCGGCCGAGGTGAGAGGTGCCGCAGCGGTGGCGCCTGTGGCGGCGGCCTGGAGACCGCCACTCGGGGCCCAACGACCACCGGGGGCCGTTCGGACAAATCACCTCCCATCCATTCCGGCAACTGGCCACCGACCGGCGCCGCAGCCGCTGACCGTTCCTCCGCCTGCCGCCGCTGAGTGTGTCACCCTCCCAACGAGGACTGTTCCGCAGTGGGGTCTCTGACCGTCCCACCGTGCCTCTCAGGGCCGTCCCGCCGTGCCGCCACACCGGGCGTCCCCCCCCCCCCTCCCCGTGCCGCCGCCTACCGTTCTACCATCCCACCATGCTTCTGACCGTCTAACCGTACATATCTGACTGTCCCATTATGTCCACCTGACCGTGCCGCCGTGCCTTTCGTTAATCCCTCCCCCCCCCCCTCTTCTGACCGATACTCAACAATCCCGACACATGTGACGCCATTTGATGGTGGCTGGAACTCATGAACTGCTGGGTCTTGACGGGATGATGTGATTTTTTGGGGGAACTCTTTCGCTTAAGTGTATCAAATGCAGGTGACAAACATTCAGTCTGCTGTTTTTTTTTTTTTCAGGCATAAAGGCTTCTTGAAGGACTGTCCAGACGGCCTCCTTACAGAGCAGGTATGTGAGTGAGAAGAGAGAGAGAGAGAGAGAGAGAGAGAGAGAGAGAGAGAGAGAGAGAGAGAGAGGGGGGAGGGAAACAAGAAGAAGGACAGAGACGCATGTCTACTGTCTATCCATTTTGATCCTTTACATCAAGTCTGACGGTGTAATTACGGTCGGGTTCAGAGGCTCATCAGGCGCCGGTCTACCGGACGCTGTTTGATGCCGTGTCGTAATTGGAGACCCTATCAGATGAGTGGCAGGACGGAGCGAGGAAGCCAGACAGAGCAGCGTCAGTATATGACACGGTGGCTCACCGGAATAGACATGCCACGTGAAATGGCAGCACACAGGAGATGATATGGTAAAACTGGCGCCGTTCGCTGGAGGAGACGGCCAGACCTGCCGCCGAAAGTACCGACCTGCCGAGTATGCGGCGCTGTCCGCCGGTAGTGACGGAACGACCTGCTGCCGTCCGCTATTGGAAGTACGGGCCTACATGCTGCCGGTGGGGACGGACCGACCTGCCGCCGTCCATCGGCGCTAGCGCCAAGGCGGCGACGTCATTAGTCGCTGGCAGGAAGCCGTAGGAAGGGCCATTAGTCGAGAATCGAGCACCGAGCCTGTACGGTGCGCCGGAGGATTGGATTGCTGCTCTGACAAACACAGGCGCTCGCTAACTGATTGCTGACCATACGAGTAGCACGCACAAGAGAACACATGCTTACAGACTATTGGAACATATACAGGGTGGAAAGTAATTACGCGAACATGTATTTTCTTACAATTTTGACCGTCAGTGGAGCATTATTATGAGTACGGGCTGTCATGGAACATAATTGGTCGTGTTTGTTGTCGCCTCATCTACCAAAAGTGACCCAACTTTGAACAATGACCTGGAAGGTCTTAAACACCTCTCGACTTAAAATGGTGCAGACACCATACGCTGCACAAGACCGAAATGGGCAAAGAGCTCAATTTGGAGCTGCCAGGGAAAGCGTTTATGATTATTTTCGCTGGATTGGCGGAGAAGGGATTCGTAGTGGTCTCAGCACCAGCATTGCACAATTATACGTTTTTTTTAACATAATAACACTTGAGAGGACTTAAAAAGCAAAGCCGTCCGCGCGGCAGCAACCCCTCGGCGAATTCTGCCGCCGGGCGGGTGGTCACCATGTCGGCGACAAAACGACGCCAGTCGACCCGAAAACTGGCAAAATAGCTTACTCTGGCCGGGTACCCGATCTAAGATATCACGATTCGCACATTAATACGCAAAAATTCGAAAATTAAGTCGTACAAACCCTCGGGATGACCAAAATTCACGAATTAACAGCAGAATTGTTAATTGAAGCTTTTCAAAGACAATCAAAGATGGACAGAGGAGGACAGGCAGCTGGATTTGTGGTTGGGTGAGACATCTGTGAAACTGTTTCATCCGTCAAACCTGCAGAACAACTGCTCTGAGGGCTGCTGTTGCGTCCTATGTCCCGTCCGTCCCAACCTTCAAACATCCGGCAAAGGAACACATCAGTGGGTCACGAGCCCCCGGGTGGTGTCAGAATTGCGTGTAGCGCTAAAAAAGGTCACTAAAAATAAAGTATACAACCGGTGGAACATCCTCCAAGACGAGTGTCTCTGTCTAATCCACCGTGCAACGAAAGGGACAAAATGACTGAGCGCACTTTTGTGCCTGACGCAAAGAAACTGCTCTTCGTGATTGGTGAAATCCTTACTTTCACGGCCAACAAAACGCAATACTGGTGCTGTGAGAACCTGTTTTTCTTCAGGACATACAAAAGCTGATCTGGGAAACGCCTGGGCCTCAATTCGATTAAAAATCTCCAGATGACTCCTCAGGAGACCGTCTAAAAGCTGCAAGGAGCCACCAACACCGATTACCTCACTGGACAGTGGACAGCTCCATAAGGTGTGGGCTGAGCTTTGGCCAACAGATCTTCACATGCTGATGTAAATCATGCCGGAACGCCTATGTCAATGCATCGCAACTAGATAAGGATAAAGTAAAACATATATTGTTTATGTCACCGCCGTTTTTTTCATTACTAGAAGACGAAAAAGTATGTTCGCGTAATTACTTTCCACCCTGTACGTTCATGACGTAGAGGAAGGCCTGACAGCAAAAAGCAAAGGTGGTTTTAGAGCATGACGGTTCGAAGGACCAAAAGATAAAGAACAGGTTCTCGGAAAGCTAGGATCTTATCTTGGGCTCTCAAATCCCAATACAGTGCATGTGTGCTGTCATCACCCGATAGTTAAATAACGGGACCGTGCTCTCAGCGTTGGTCATCAGCCGCGTCCGGTCGGGAGGTCGGTGGTGTTGGCCGAAGGACCCACAAGGCGAGCTGCGCAGCTGACTGATGTCCCCCTACATCTTTGACCACCGCCCTCGGCTGCATGGCTTATCTGCTCTTTATGGGCGCCCAGCCATCATAATACCATCACCAAATGCGTTCAGGAATATAGGCTGGCTTTTAAATGTCGGCGAACTGAGCGGCATTATATCCTGCAGAAATGATGGCCAATAGCGGAAGGTTATTGGCCGCAGAATCGTTCGGTCGTCCCTGGACGCACAATAGCGTAACAGGCTATATCTGGCACGCAGCCAGGAAGCCGTCCAAGCAATAGCCGGGCGCCACGGCGCGATCGTCAAACAGTTGCATTAACTGATGCCGTGGATGGGAGCCTCAGGCAAAGGTCGAGAGTGTCTGCGAGCTACACAAACGCTCACATGGGTGACTGTTTCAGCGGCAGAACGGCACAATGAACTCGATATAAACTCGACATGCAGTAATATCGGTGATGTTAAGTTAAATAAGATGTACAAACTATGATCGTATCATCCCCCGCACTACAGAGTCTATCACTATGGAGCTTGTATGCAAATGACAATCTCCAATTAGGCACTAGTGACTTTGTATTGGTATATAAACTTTCGGTACTATGTTGTGATGAGTGCCATGTCACTGTGCCATCACTAGTGTGCGCCATGGCTATGAACTCAGAGATGTGATAACCATGCCACGTTGTCGTTCGTCTGCGACATTTCTCAACAATTTCCAGAAACACCATCAAAATACATCAGATGCCACCAGCCTTGGGACCGTTTCGGCCATTCGTTTTGATGCTTTTAGCCGAGCTACTCGGGGCCAATGGCCAAAGTAGCCGGATAGACGTCAAATGGAGCGGAAATATTACCGATAGAGCTGCCCGGACCGTTCATAGAGCTGCCCGGACCGTTCAGCCATGTACGAACACGCTACGGACTATTCTGGGCAGATATATGGTACACTTATTATGAAATGGTGAGCCTCGGATATCACCCTGTATTAATTATTAATTCATTAAGGTTCATTAAGTATGTTGCAACGAACATGCGTAATTGTACTCATCTTTATAATTTCTTCCTACAAGCACGTAAAACGTGCCTCACAAAATGTGGTTTGGTTTCAGGGGTTCATCAACATATACAAGCAGTTTTTCCCGCAGGGCGACCCGACCCGGTTCGCCACTCTCGTGTTCCGGGTGTTCGACGAAAACAAGGTGAGAACCGCAGCTATAAGGCGCGCCAAAGGAATGAGAATACTTTTTCAGTTCGTCACAGACGTTCTGCAAAAGTCTCATGTATTAGGAGGGTGGATAATTGATATGCATGCACCTTTTTAGTATGTGCTCCTGCATATGACTCTGTTTGCCTTACATCGAAGGTCATTTGCTACCCACGGCATTAGTCTATTTACGGTCTTGCAATCAGGAAAACAAACTCCCTCGTGACATTAGCCTTCGCCCAGAAGCCATCAAAGCCATGCGGTGTGCCACCGTAAAAAAAAATATCTGAACAGATTTTGTCTAGTAATACTGCCCCCCAGACCGAACCCCTCCCCGGCCCCACCTCGAACGCCTCCCCGACCCCACCCCGAGCCTGTCCAATTACTGTCTGGGGCGTTATCAGCCGGTGCAGCGCCAGTGCCCCGGGCCATATCCATCGACCCCGTATTGATATGGGCCGAGTGCTATACAGCGGCCCACCTGGCGCCGGCCTGTGACGCACCCGGGCCGTCCATACTGCACCCTATCTGGGCCGACACTCGCCCCCTACCCCGCCGTCCACTCCCTGCTGCGGATATCGCACCGACAGCGCGGCCTCTCGCCGAGGAAAGGTCGCAATAAATAGTCTGTGAGCACGGAGCTACACAGTCTGACACAAAGCTATCAAGCATCACCCGTTTACTTGCTGATACGAACATGGCCACTTACTCTATGTACATAAAGTTAATTATTTCATATCACGCAGCTGCCGCCCTTGGTTGACTCCAGCCACTGCGGAGGACGTGTCTGCATTACTGTGGAGGCTGCACGTGGACCTGACATGACCCGTGACGTGGCCGTGTCGTTCACAGGACGGCAGCATCACGTTCGAGGAGTTTATCCGAGCGTTATCCATCACGTCAAGAGGAAGTCTGGACGAAAAACTACACTGTGAGTATGCAATATGCATGCAATGTCCTGCTTAGACGCCTCACGGTCGTCCTCAGTTGCACCCAAAATGTTTGCACTGGTGATAAATAACCTAACACAGCACCTTATAAATAGCTTTATATTTACTGCTGAACTTCGGGAAACACAACTGAAGGCCCTTTCGAAGTTTGAAGTGAAGACAGACACCAGACTATATAAATGAGGATTGCATCATATACTTCATCATTGACTTCGGACGCCTGATCAGCTAATTTCGGGTGAGCATCAAGTTTTAGAGTTTGTCCCTCAAAAGTTCCCTGGAGACGGGCACAGCCCACCAATCCCATCGACTTCATCTGGCCTGTACCCCTCTGAGATTACCTGCAGGTCATTCCCATCTACAGAAACTTAAAAGCGTGCCTACTTATCAATTCCATTAGAGAATGACACATGCCCCTGACACTTAACTTCCGATGCCGCTCTGACACTGGCATGTGATATAGTTCAGTGACAGCGCGCGACGTGTACCTGACACCGGGTCGTGTCACCCGGCCGACGGACACCGAGCCGTACCCCATCACGCGATGTTGCCAAGGCTCTCAGCTGATCCCACTGGCTGCCGGCATTCGCATGCCAATGCCAGGACGTTGCATGTCACTTCAGCCCGTCACGACGCTGCAGATAGTCTGCAGGAAGTCTTGGAGACAGTTGGTAACCGTATACGTGCCCATGAAACAGGCTAAGCTGAGATCGAGCGCAGCATGCATACGAAATACGAGTATAACAATTTGTCGCGGAGGATAACTATTCCTTTGGTGCCAAGATGATATGTTTGTTTGTTTATGAAACAACAATAACGTGAGTCTCGTCATTTTCCGTCGCTTCCCTTTCTCATGCACCGAGCTTCATCATCCATCCGTGGGCGTAAACGTCCAATTCGTCTTTCTGAACCACCCTTTCACACCGTCTAACTCCTTCCGTTATCGTCCTTTGCATTTCCTTCTCCGCCCGTCCTTCTCCGCTAGGCCTCAGTTCTGAACCACGCAAACCACGCATCCACCGTTCCGCGGTCGGCGTCCGCTGCACCTAATAACGCTCGCAGCTCGATGAAAAGTTGCCCGGGGCGGCTCACTCCCTCCCCGGCCCTGCTCAGTCAAGAGGCAGAGCCGCCGGGAGCCGCCAGGAGCCGCCGGGAGCCACCAGGAGCCGCCGCTCCGCGCAGAACAAAGACAGCTTGCACCGCACGCCAACAGCGACGACCACATGAATGGCATCGCGCTATATAGGAAAGTTAGGGCTACAGGACATGGACCTTACACCCTAAAGGAAATCTGAAAATAACGAGAACTCAAACTGGTGACCGCAGTGGCTTAAGTGTCTTCATAACTCTCTTTTTAATAAACAGGGTTTGTTTACCTTGCTGAGCTCGCCGCCGCTCTGCACGCGAGACTATCTTTCTCCCTCCTCTCTCTCTGATTCCCTCCTTCTCTCCCTCCCTTCTTTCTCTTTCCTTACCTATCTTTTCTATCCCTTCCCTCTCTCTCTCTCTCTCTCTCTCTCTCTCTCTCTCTCTCTCTCTCTCTCTCTCTCTCTCTCTCTCTCTCTCTCTCTCCCAGGAGATCTCTCCCGTGTCCCGGGTGAGCCTATAGCCGCCGCCCCGGCGATGAACGTTCCGACACCCCGTCACCGCGGGACGCCAATTGATGATAACAAATACGCCGAGACATGCCGCGCGGCCGACACTGATATTGGCAACCGACACTTACCCGAATGGATAGCCGCTCTCTCAAAGACGGATGGCGCTCCGAGGCCCTTTGACATGCAAATTCGATAGCAGCCCAGAGCCTTTCCGACACCCTGGTTCTTTGAAGTGGTAGTGGACCCAGGCCTAAATTTGTATCAAGGAAGCATAATATGCTTGTCAGTAATACCACAGGCTTTGACGCCACATAAAGACGAAAAGCAGAACAGAGTCGATGCGGAGAGCTGGTTTCCATACCTATCAGTATCTTCAGAACACTGGCGATAGCAGCATGGCGAACAGCTCAGCTCATATCGTGGACAGTGGACACAGAGCATCATTTGCTTTTAAAAGTAACCACAAGCATAAATATCGTCATGCTTCGCTTCGACATAAAATACATGTCTATATTATGTCTTCTTAGAACTGATCTGTGATGGTGTGCGATTTTTCGAGCCAGCTTAGCAGGGATTAGAATTTCTCCAGAGCCGCTCTGCCGGGCTGCGGCCGGCGGGACTTCGCTGGCGGCGGCTGATTTTGTTCGACCGCCGATATGGTCGATCCCCTGTGTCGATGTCGTGTCACTGCGGGCTCGCGATGGGCCCGGCCGGCGCGGGCTGCTGCAGGCGGGCGGGGCGGGGCGGGGCGGGGCGGCCCGCTGATGAACTGGGTGACAGCCCGTCAGTCGGACCGGCCGGGCTGCTGTCTGCCACCAGTCGCCCGCGCACGATGGATGGCCCTCCTCTCCGGCCAGATAGTGTTCTTCCCTAGACAGACTCGTTCATCACCGTCGTCCCGCGCGGCTGGCCCTCAACGCCCCGGCAAAATAAAGACGTGAACTGCCTTGCCGCCGCACAAAGCTGAGCCCCTCAGCCATGCCATTTAGAAAATTAAGTTCATATCTGCCGAAAGTAAGTTTGTCTTAGATACAATGAGATTGAATTCACTAGATGTTCCAGCGCATTACGTGTTCCATGCGGCAAACGCTGGGTAGTGGATATCAATGTTCCAATGTGTTCGTGTAGGCATTAGTTTTCGATGTTCGAATCAAACACAAAAACCGACAGCTCGTACGTGATCTACAATTTCAAGGCGTCCAGCATTGACTTGATATATAAACCATTGTAAAATGGCATGATTCAACGATATAGGCTTCTATAGTCCTGAAACTGAAGTACAGCCTATAACCGAAGGAATGAACGCCAACTTTACCGATGTTAAGTCTACACAAATATATTTTCAACTTTGTCAACCGTTACACCACTCAAACACAATCATTCAAAAGTTTGCGGCCGCTGACGTCCCGGCTCTATCGAGCGTCGGTATCATCTATCGCCTGTCTCTGTGTTGGCCCATAAACTGGCGCAGGCGGCCCCTTCCCACGCCCCCGGTGCCGCGGCGATCGACAAAACTGGCGCAGCCGAGGCGGTGTCGGCGCGTCTCCTCGCCACCATCTGCAACTGCCGGCCGTGCTCCCGAACGGCAGGCGGCTGACGATCCTCCACAGAGCGAAGGCAAAGGTCACACAGGAAATAATGATCGAAAAAAGACACACGGACAATGGCCATGATCGGACAATGGACACATGACAGACAGTGTTGTAAATTGAGAGGCAGCTCGCATAGAGACCATATTTCCTTTGATTTAGTGGGACGGTATGGCCTGGACTACGTGGAATGTAGATAGTTACCATGAAGAGTGATTGGTATTGTTATAGCAGGCGTCTCACATGCTGCCACCGGTTTGGGAAAAGTCGCTAGATTCGTCAGGTCTAGAGATATTTCTACCAAGTCGCTATATAGGGTAATCACATAGCGGTGATTTCAAAAACGGAGTCAGTTTTTTTCCGAGCTGGCGGGGGGGGGGGCGTTTGGGGGGGGGATTGCCCCCCTTGCCGATAGCTCGGGAACGGCTGATCGGAGCCAGGCTTGCAAGGCGGCGTTGGAAAGCGGTCGAGGAGACAAGCCTAATATAGTAATGCAAACTATCATCGAGATACTGGGGGGGGGGGGGCGTAGGGGGGATTGCCCCCCTTGCCGATAGCTCGGGAACGGCTGATCGGAGCCAGGCTTGCAAGGCGGCGTTGGAAAGCGGTCGAGTAGACAAGCCTAATTAGTCATGCAAACTATCATCGGGATACTGGGGGGCGTAGGGGGGATTGCCCCCCTTGCCGATAGCTCGGGAACGGCTGATCGGAGCCAGGCTTGCAAGGCGGCGTTGGAAAGCGGTCAAGTAGACAAGCCTAATTAGTAATGCAAACTATCATCGGGATACGGGGGGGCGTAAGGGGGGATTGCCCCCCTTGCCGATAGCTCGGGGAACGGCCTGGCTCCGATCAGCCGTTCCCGAGCTATCGGCAAGGGGGGCAATCCCCCCTACGCCCCCCCCCCAGTATCCCGATGATAGTTTGCATTACTAATTAGGCTTGTCTACTCGACCGCTTTCCAACGCCGCCTTGCAAGCCTGGCTCAGATCAGCCGTTCCCGAGCTATCGGCAAGGGGCAATCCCCCCCCAAACGCACCCCCCCCCTAGTATCCCGATGATAGTGACTTGTCTACTCGAACGCTTTCCAACGCCGCCTTGCAAGCCTGGCCCCGATCAGCCGTTCCCGAGCTATCGGTCAAGGGCAACACCCCCCCCACACACACACACACGCCCCCCCCCCCCAGTATCCCGATGATAGTATGCATTACTAATCAAGTAATTAGGCTTGTCTACTCGAACGCTTTCCAACGCCGCCTTGCAAGCCTGGGTCCGATCAGCCGTTCCCGAGCTATCGGCAAGGGGGGCAATCCCCCCAAACGCCCCCCCCCCCCGCCAGCTCGGAAAAAACTGACTCCGTTTTTGAAATCACCGCTATGTGATTACCCTATATAGCGACTTGGTAGAAATATCTCTAGACCTGACGAATCTAGCGACTTTTCCCAAATCGGTGGCAGCATGTGAGACGCCTGCTATCATAATACCGAGTGATTGATTCTACTTGCAAGCATTCGTAGAAAATGTTTTAGTTGGGTTCAAGACAGGAAGTTCAATTGTATCCTTTGGCGGTATTTACGCATTGATAAAGATTCAATTTATGGTTAAGTTGCGCAATACCCATTAAGCTGTTATGCTACTCGCTAAAATAACGAATGGTATCGGAAACATGGAACAAAATACCGATTGATATCGGAAACAGCAGCCCAGCAGTGATGAATACCAGAAAAGTAAGCGAAACGCATTTCCTGTTTTCCCTTAACCCTGGAATTAAATCACTTCAAGGTTATTATAAGCAGAGATATAGCAAAATTGGCGCCCTCATCACACTCAATTACACTCAATTACACTCAACACTTAGCAATCAGTATTCACCCAGCCGCCATTTTCTGAGACATTTCCCTCTGTCCGTCCGTCCGCCCGAGCTCAAGTGGTCTGTGCCGGGCGAACTCCCGAGCCAGAAATAGCCTGGAAGGGTAGGCTGCACCGCAATACTCCGGTGCTCGGCGGGTCTACCTACCGATGCTGCCTGAAGGACCGAGCGGCAAATATGGACTCGTGATCGTCAGGCATATTAGATTGGAGACATTCATCCAGTGTCGAGCTGGAGCTGGCGATTGGTGTGAAAAAGATGCTTTTTAGTCAGTGTAGCATACTCGTATTATGTCTGAATGACTTATTATACGTTCTCAAGGAGCGCTACTACAAACACTCGGTGGTGGCCGACTTCGTGTTACGTCAGAAACATTTTTAGCCACAGTTACCTAATACCTTATACCTTATACCTTTAACTCTACAAAATAAGCATATGCAAGCTTAACTTACATGCTCTTAATGAATAATAAGAAGTTGAAAGGGTCACCTCTCTGTTCAAGGATAACATCAGGGGCTTATTTTTGCCAGATTTATAAGATTGGCGTCAGTAAAATCAGCCCCTGTTCCCTGTTGAATATAGACAGGCAATTCGAAGTTCAATGTTTAAATTTCAGAGATAGTTCATTCATCGTTATACTGATTATTCATTATCTTCATTGTGTTATTATTCATGTATGCATATTGAGGTGATTGTGTGGTAGCTGGTATGTGTGTGAATGCATCATGAATGCATATGCGTCTCTAGACTCAAAATGCAATCCGTCGCATTTAACATGATCTTTCTGTTTAGTAATGCATGTTTATCGTTTAATAAATGCACTGAGACTCGATTCAAAACTCAACAGGGCCGTGATTACTTATTACGACTTCTTGTTTTCACCATTTTTATGTCCAGGAAAATTCTCAAGCTGTTTATCAGCCTCGATCACGACAGCATACCGCTGTGGTTTGAGACCTCACCATTTATGTCTGGTTATGTCGTCTATATCGTCTATGTCGACCCGCTGCAGCGAAGAATCAGGTGACATTCGCTCCGGTTATCGTTGGCGCTGTGGATCACGCTGAGTAGGTCAGCAGGTCGGGCCTGGGAGGACCCTGTGGCCGGCTGGCAGTCACTCACCGGCCCTGTTTGATGGCAGTCAGGAAGGGAAGACCGGCTCGTTCTTTTGACAGACGCCAGGCCGCCGGGTCCGACCGCACCCGCTCGGTGCCCCGCTGCCTTATTTGCTCGTTGTCGATCCGTCCCTCCGCACACCCTGACCTCGATAGCGGCTCTATATTGCTCTGTATTACTCGGCCGTCGGTGAAATGTCGCGCTACCTCGATCCTTCAAACACGCTCAACGACTCACCATGTCCCCTGGGGCGCATTTAGCACATACCTTCCCGCGGGGCCCCAGAAATTTAGCTGAGGTCAATAGAGGGAGGGCGACCACTGCACCAAACGCTCATTGTTCATCGCACATCGCGAGGTATTGACTCTGTACGAGTACGTGTGTATGTGTGTGTCCACTGGCTGAAGTGCTGACGGCAGACGGGCGCTCTGATGACTGCTCGCTGACGTGGCCAGTCGATGGCCTGAGTCGGGGTGGCCGGCCACCGCGATGGTCAACACTGGTGACCGGCCGCTCGATGACACAGCAGACGACAGAAAACCGTCTGATGACACAGCAGACGACAGAAGACGACAGAGGCAATCGCTGCTAACACGGCAGACGGCAGACAACTGTCTGATAACACAGCAGACGACAGAGGCAGTCTCTGACAATACGGTAGATGGCATGGATGGCATCCTCTGATAGAACAGTACACGACAATGCCAATGTAGACGACAATGCCAGTAAAAGGCTGTCTCTGATAACACAGCAAACCACAGAAAACTGTCTGGTGACACAACAGACTGCAGAAAACTGTCTGATGATTGTGGACGACAGACGGCCGTATGGTACATACAGCAGACGACTAAAACAGATCACAGACGAATGACGACGCAGCAGGCAACAAACATCCGTTGCGTAGTGTGGCACAATTGACGAGTCATGGCCACTTGGCGATAGCAGCAGACAACAGTCAACCGTCTGACGACAAAGCAGACAACAGCCCACCGTCTGATGACCAAGCAGACAACAGCCCACTGTCTGATGACCAAGCAGACAACAGACAACCGTATGATGAAACAACGTACAACAGCCGGTCGATTGATGAGACAGTAGACGATTGGTGGCCGCCTGATAACACAATTGACAGCACTGACAAAAGGCCGCTCATATCAGACGACCGACGGGGCTCAAACGCTGTTGCATGACGCAATAGCTGTCAATATTTGCGGTCGACTCCCAATGAGATCGGTGTCACTATCGAGCGAGACGTAAGAGTGACAGGCAATCGATATGATATTTTGCAAGATATGATATTTTACAATGTAAAAATATGCTCAGAAGCTTAAGAAGTTTTGTTTCGAGCTATCAAAATCGAAACGGTTTGCTAGTTTGTATGGAATAACAGGCGTCGTTTATTACATATTAGTTGGTTGTCTTAAGTCCGCCTTTTCAGTAAACGGTAGCTAAATATGAAACCAATTAAGTCTACTATTTTCTGTGTAGAGTTTCTTGGAGAAGGGCTTAGCACATAAGTATTATCCTAAATAAATTGTTGAACGTTTTCGGTAAGCACTTATCTTCGTTGAATCCTTGGTTTGACGAGTGGCGACGGCGGTGGTGGGGTAGGCAGCGGGGACGGGTGCGGCCCTGTCGCTGGCTTAATTAGCTCACTCACAGCGTCTCCGGAGGCTGTCGGAGCGAGCGGAGCGTCCCCGGGGCGCGTTTGGCCGCAATTCAGCGGCACGGCTCGCCGTCCGACGCCACGATTTATGAGTCTCAGTTTCACCGACGGGCCTAAACGGCCGGGCGGCGCAGCGCCGGCGGCGGTGGTGGTCGACCAGCATCCCCGCACGCGGCGGCTTCACCGCCAGCTCCAGCGCCGGTCACAGACGCAGTCGAATCCTCACTCCAACAACACCCCGGCAGCCCTCTGAACTGTGCACTGACCTACACCAGCTGAACTGCTAAACGTTTCCGGGTGCGATCAACAAAGAAAGGGACAGAGCACTTTGGCCTGTAGGCTTACTTCATAATCACTATTAAGCATTGACTATGAGTGCTCACTGCTCTTGTTCACTTTGATTTGGCACGTTGATGCGGCTTTAATGACCTCGCGCTGGTTTATGCTGTGCTCAATAATCTGCCGGTCTAGACAGTGTGTCTAAGCCAGTCTGCCGGCGCTGCTGAGCTGACGCCGGTTTCCGTGTCGACAGGGGCGTTCCGGCTGTATGACGTCGACAACGATGGCTTCATCACGCGCGCCGAGATGTACAACATCGTCGAGGCCATCTGCCAGATGGTGGTAGGTTCACCGCACATAGTTCACCGCACACAAGTTGAGCAGACTGCAAGCTGATTCAACGTACACGAGTCGGACGGGCTACTTTATCTTATACCAGCACCGGGCGTAAATTATTGAAATAAGCCAGAGCTATGGATCTACTCCCGTAAGTAATACCCCGCGGATGTTATTTTTCGTCTTTCATTCCGCTGTCTGACTAGTTTACTTTCAATTGTTCTGCGTTCACCCTCTGGAGCTTCTTTCCCACTTCTTGGGGCGAACCTTTACCTTTCTACCGGAGACAAGAAATAAATGGCGCGATATAGATCTGATGGGAAATATTTCACCCGTTCTGCCTCGTCCGGAGCTCATTTACATACTGATAAACGACTTGACTGTGGGAAAGGCCATCACATTCCTGATACCTCAAATGATCCCGGGCTTATCCCCATGAAATTCGGGATGAGATTCATGATGAGATAGTGGTTCTGTCGTCCATAGGGCGTTCAAGCTATTCCAAATGGTCATTGATATGCTATACAGCGCCACACAGTCAATATGCCTATACCACAATGAAGACCGCAATAGAAATAAGGGGATAATAATTGGTCTGCATTAGTTCAAAAGGATATCGCATGACTATTAGCTAGCATTTATTAAATGCACCGCTAATACGTCACAGACGAAGTATATGCACATTCACGAACGGAGCAACCCAACAGCTTGTAAATCGAGAACGACTAAAAGTTGTAGGTGTAAGGACACAGGGGAAAGATACCTCTCTGTCCATGTGCTCTCCATCCTCGGTCCGTTCTGTAAGTGGTTTATCCAATAGCGACATTCCCCAGTGTCCCCTTAGGACCACTGGACTGTCTCGCTGGCTTCAAAGGACGACCGCCTAAATTAAGCAGTCGCGACACTGGGGCTCATTGGCGTGCCGCTTTATCCGGCTTTAGGGCCAGTTAGCCGGCGGTCTGTCGCGAACTGGCCCTGTCTGCTGTCTGGCCGTATTACAGTTCCGCCGGGCCGCCGCGCCGGGCCGCCGCGGGCCGCTCACTCACCGAGCCGCCAAATGGACGGCTGTCCCGGCCCGACCGGCCGCCGGTAGCTCAGCCGAGTGCGCCGCGCTAGGCCGACATAAGGCCGCTATCGCCGCGGACCAGAGCCAGCTAATGCCGTCAGGAGAGCCGCCCGTCCGTCCTAACAGGCAGTTAAGAGGGGCAGAGCACCCAAACCGCTACCCACTCGCCTCTGCACTGGTCAACAGAGCATGGTAGAGTTTCAGAGCCGCTACCCCCGCGTCTCTGACGCCTCTGTCACAGTCAGCAGAGAGGGGAGAGCAGAGAATAAGAGCCGCCCCCTCCTGCAAAGGTCACGTAGCCCTGGCATGCACTCGTTCCGTCGTCAGGCGCTCTGATGGCCTCCTTTCAAAACACTCGGGCATTGCCAGGTCAGGCGCGCAGCACAATTTCCGGACCCACGGGACCATCACCAGCTCATTTGCCAAATTATCGGCGGCCTTTGCTAGCAGCCAAGTGGACCATTCACAGGAAATGGGCGGAATGAGCGTCTCTATCAGCACGGCCCACTGTTGATTTTCCGCTTGAGGGTGTACAGAGCTCAATGAGCGTCCTGAAATAACACGCGTCTCTGCGTTATGACGTTTATTGACATTGTGTAATTGGGTGCACATCGTTCTTTTCAACAAAGGCGGGTTGCTCATAGCAATTTACGCCTTGAGGACGTAGTGCGCACGCCTTGAGGACGTAGTGCGTACATTTACAACCTTGACCATTTTTGCAGTTTGTTCGCTATTTCCTTATGGCTTCGCAGTTCTGTGTAAGTGTGATTGCTTAGTACTTAAACTATTAAATGCGCTAAATTTATTTTACCTCTCTCATATTCCATGTGAGGGATGGCATATAACGTTTGGATAAATTGCTATGCTTCATGAACTAAGCTACATTAATGGTTCTGACTGCTACAGATTTTCATAAGATTAACGTAGTCGAATATGCAAGCTATGTAAGTGAAGCAAGCAGATCACGTTTCTGGTTCGCACTGCACAGTGTCAGGCTCCGTGTTTTTAATATCCCCGGCTGTTCCGTCCGCCCCCAGGGCCAGCCGATAGACGGCGAGAAGAGCTCACAACGCGTGGACAAGATCTTCGACTCGATGGACAAGGACAACGACGAAAAGCTGACCCTGGAGGAGTTCAAGGAGGGCTCCAAGGCCGACCCTCGCATCGTGCAGGCGCTCAGCATCTGCGACTCCAACAACTGACAGTCGTCGGGCGGCGGGCGGCGCGAGTACCTCTGACCGCCCCCGCCGCCGCCCCCGCCCACCGAGCCGCCGCTGTGCCACCGGCCACGGGTGGTCTGTGGCCTCGGCTGAGGTCGGCCGGCTGACGTCTACTTTGCACTGAGGGCCGGTCTGTGGCCTCAGCTGAGGGCTGCCTGACGGCTCTGGTGGACTGAGGGCCGGTCTGGGGCCTCGCCTGAGGTCGGCCGGCTGACAGCTCTAGTGTGGACTGAAGGCCGGTCTGTGGCCTCAGCTGAGGAGGGCTGCCTGACGGCTCTGGTGTGGACTGAAGGCCGGTCTGTGGCCTCAGCTGAGGGCTGCCTGACGGCTCTGGTGTGGACTGAGGGGTCAGTCGGCGAAGCGGGAACGGTCATGGACAGGGGCAAATATGCCAAATGCCAGCGAGATTCGATCGGGTTGTGGCGCAAAGACAGTGACATCGCTGAGGGCAAGTGGAAGAATGTAGCCGATAGCAGACTGTGAGCGGGCGGACAGCTCAGAGGGGTACTGAGCGGCGGGCGGACAGATCAGCGGGACAGTGAGCGGAGAGGGGACAGCTGGGACAGTCAGCGGGAGGAGGACAGTGCACAGCGGTCTTGCATCCTGTGACGGTGCCGATGGTGAGAGGACAGTCAGCGTCCGGGTCGCCGGCCCCAGTCCGTCAGCAGTTTTCTGACTGTATAGCAAATTGCGACGGCGGGGATTAGAGGCACGCGCCGAAATCCAATTCACGCGAGTGTTCGCGCCAATGACAGACGAGTGTGTGTCTTATCGCTACACTGGAGATCAACAGCTGGGAGAGGAGCGCAAAGAGTGTGAGCTGAGGGCAGACGTGCCGTGTCTAGTAACCTGCGCCGTCATCTGTTGGAGAGAGTGGGTGTCAGCCCGGCGCTGTCTTGAGTGTCCTGTTAGACGACGAGCAGTGAGAGCTACCGGCTTAATCGAGTGACATGCCTCCTGAGACCCCGTGACGAAAGGCGCAACCTGCGGGACGTGCCCAGCAGTGTGTTAAAACCTGTCCGGTATCATGACCTCAGTCATGCTGTAACAAATCTTCTTGCTATTCCATTCCGATGTTGACGGGAAGTTTGCTGGCGGCGCTGTGTTCCCGCATCTGTCTACGGTCGGTGAGCCACGCCGCTTCTCGTGGCCGTTATGCATGGCGGGTCATTCTATCCGATACAGCAATGTGGATCAGTTTCGGTGTGGCGATGAACGAACATCGTGCCTCGGCGATACGAGTAGACGAGGCACATCGCTTACTTTTGCAGTTGGAGGAGTAGAAATTTGGCAATACGCCCTATATATTAGAGCTAAATGTATTTGAACATTTCATATGATGAATAAAAATATTGAAGAATGAAGTAAATGCACTCAGAACGTTCAGCCCCCGAATGCTCGGTAGCCGAAATGCCGTTTTTTCTTATGTCATGCGGGGAAGGCACTTATGAACTGCGGAGGTCCGGTCATCGCAGTCAGACTGTCGGTCAAGAGAAACAGCCGCCCTCTGCCGTCTTCAAACGTCTCCCTGGTGTCCCATTAAACTCTCTAAATGCCTTACTATTCACCCGGGCATTTAATGTCCATCAGTGTCCCACCACTCACCCGCCAACTGCCCCCACCCACCAGGCCAACTGCTCATCAACACTGCAGCTTCCAGATGATATTTAAATCCACGGACTGTCCCTCTGTCGCTCTATTTATAGATCGCCAATTTTCCGGCTGACTTGATGCAGTCCGATGGCATAATGATGCAGCATTTCTCTTCAGCATTTACTGATTCATTCACTCCAGAGTCGAAAGATTCTGAAACGTGATACACACAAAAAGTAGACAAAAAGTACAGAAACGATCGATATTTTCATTTTTCCTGCCGCCGTCTCGAAGGAGCAGTGTCGGAACAAAATGAACCAGGCACCAACACACTTTATTGGATCAGCTGAGACGGAGGAGGATGGCGGCGACCCGAGAGTCGGCCGACACAAACACCAGACCTTCTCTGCTCGAAAACAGCATCCACCAGAGGCTGGTGAGATAGGAATGAGGGGCCGTGCATTGTGCAAGGAGGGACAGTGCACAGCGGCAGTGCGATGGAGGGGCGGTGACGGAGGGGCGGTGGACGAAGGGACGGTGGACGGAGGGGCGGTGGACAGAGGGACGGTGGACGGAGGGACGGTGGACGGAGGGACGGTGGACGAAGGGAGGTGGATGAGAGGTCGGTGAACAGAGAGCCTGTGGACGAATGCAGGGCGATGGAGAGGGGTGGACAGGAGGTTGGACAGAAGATGACGGTGAATTATTGAATCATACCTTTGAATTGTAAAGGAAAATAGACGCTCACGAAGTATGAATCCACGTAATCTATGCTAGACACATATGGCTGCATAGCAGACCGGTCGCGTTCAGGGATCGCCTCTCGATCTAGGCGCAGCCAAGGCAATGGCGCAGCTGTGGTTAATGGTTCACCCCGTGCCGTGTCGGGAAGAAGGACGGAGCCTCGCCAGCGACCGGCCCAGTCGGCGCACCAGGCACCTCCGTGATAAATGGAGGGATATTAAATTTTGAGGTGATTCAAATCGGATCATCAATTTGATTTTCCCAGATGCTCCCCAATCAGGTGGTCCCGTATGCTGTTACATGTCAGGCCATAAAGATAGCCAGCATTTAAGACCTTTATTGATCAAACAACTTTTGTTACAAAGTCTTGGCTCCAAAAATGATCGTTACTTTCGATTTCTGATTTTTCGTTATGAAACTCAACTTTATGCATAGCCTGAAAGAGCTCACATTCAACTATTATTCTGTATGCCAGAGACACCAAGAGTCATTGCTGCTGTTTCAAGTGTGCACATAAATCGTTCACAACCTACTATGGACGTCAAACCCCTTGAGGCCCCACTTTTTTGCGATAATTTTTAAATGCGTCAACTCTCGTTGACAATATTCTGGCAATGTGTGCTTCAGAACCTGCCGAAACTTTTATTACTGAGGTATTTTGACGCCAAACGATTATTAAAGGTACTTCTCATTCACTCGTAATGTTAAATTTCACGGAACGAATCTGCTGTTTGGGTAGAGGCTACGCGCTCATGGGGCGGAGCCACGTAATGACGTCAGCGCTAAGCTCCGCCCTACCCCTCCGGCGCTCCTTGCCCGGCGACCGGTCACTCGCGTCTCTCGCTCCATTCAGGCTTGATGGTGGGCGGTAGCTGGTAGCGGTAGCGGGCGCTGGTAGATGGCATTTAGAGCAGATGGCGCTGGTGGCGGGGCTCGAGTGTTGCCGAGTGCAAGCCTCTGCCCGGGCCTGAATTGACCTTAACATTACGAGTGAATGAGAAGTACCTTCCATAGTCGTTTGGCGTCAAAATACCTTAGTAATAAAAGTTTCGGCAGGTTCTGAAACATACATTGCCAGAATATTGTCAACGAAAGTTGACGCATTTAAAAACTATCGCAAAAAAGTGGGGTCTCAAGGGGTTTGACGTTCATAGTAGACGATACACAGAGGTCCCTCCTTGTGAATGCTAACATTAACTTAACATAAAATAGAAGATATTTTTGAATGAGAAGCACTGTCTGAAGCACTTTTCGTTTACATAAGAAATGAGTGAATGACATGGCCACATGGAGGCATGGAGGCAGCTCGTTTGTTGTAGTTGTGAACTGACTGGCCACGGTCAGACGTGCATTAGGCTGGAAACTTCGTTCGCTAAAACCACCCGATGGCCGGTAATTGCATGGCTCTATTGGCAGATTGAGGTGAATGAAACCAGTTACTAGCAACCCTGTCGTGAAAACGAACCTATTGTCAGAAAGTTAACAAGTTGTTCTCTGAAACTTGAAAGCTACTCTACACCCATTATCTTGTTCCCTGGCCACAAAGCTTGGGCCTGGGATGCATAAATGGGTATATAGATTGAAAAGGTCACTAAAAGAATAAGAAATCCCAAAAGACAGGCCAAATGCACACCAACACAACATGGGTGAGGACACAGCACGATATGTGCACCATGGATCATTGGGAGGCATGAAAAGGAAGCCCATTTCTGTCGGCAAGTCCCGCCCATCACATCCTCCCAGTCCCCGTCCCGTCCTCGCCGATCGCCGTCCCCCCAGTCTCCTCCCCGTCCTCCAGTCACCGTCCCGTCCTCCCACTCTCAGTCGCGTCCTCCCAGCTCCGTCCCGTCCTCCCTGTCTCCGTCCCGTCCTCGCCGTCCTCCCATCTCAGTCCCGCCCTCGCAGTCACCGTCCCACCCTCCCAGTCTCCGTCCCGTCCTCGCCGTCCTCCCATTGTCCGTCCCGTCCTCCACTCTCCTTCCTTCCAGTCTCGGTCCCGTCCGCCCAGTCTCCGTTCCCCGCCGTCCTCCAGTCTCCGTGCCGTCCTCCCCAGGTTGACCGGGCACCTGGTTAACCGTCCTCCAGTCTCCGTCCCGTCCTTTCCGTGCCGTCCTCCCACTATCCGTCCCCTACCGCCCAGTCTCCGTGCCGCCCAGTCTCCGTGCCGTCCGTCCCCCGGCCGGCCGGGTACCTGTTTACCATCACTGGCTGAACCGCGCCGCCGGCGGCACCGGCACAGCTCACTGACGCGTGCGTGATCGATTCGAGATGAAAGTTAGTGCCGCCGCCCTCACCGGCGGAACACCGGCGGCGAAACGAGCGCCGCAACTGATCAAAGCCCGCGACCCCAGAAGGCCCTGCGTGTCACGATCAATAACTGGCGAGTGAAGTCAGAAAGTGACTGTGAAAAGAGACCGGTCAGAGCCCCCATTAGTTGTTCTGTCCTATCGATATGCGTCCTTTGAAGTGAAAAGGAATGCTACTTTATTCTCCGTTTCTTAGCATCCCTGACTCTTTGTCCGAACTGTATACGACAGCATTCTTTCCGTCTCAATAAATTGAAGTATCTACAAAGATGCACGGATGGTAGATAACAGATGAATACGCTTATCAAGCAGGTCACGCCCAATCCCCATGTTATACCGGCTTCTCACATTGCTCCAACAGACGGTAAATAACTTTTGAAAATACCCATCTCCAATTTTAGTGTTTTCTGAACCAAAATTTTCCGAGGAATCCGATGGTGTGGTCCCCGAAATCTGAAAAATTTCCATTTTGGAGATATCACCTATTTTTTGAAAAGTAAATATTCGTCATGCACAAAAGTCAAATAAATTGAAAATGTAATGAGTGAATATTTGTAACAACACTAGAATGTATCGAGCATGAATTAGTGATATATTTTAGCTGATATATGATACCATAGTGTAATAAATAACTATTTAGTTATTTATTACATAATAATAATAATAATATTAATATTAATATAATAATAATAATTATAACCAGTAAAACGCCTTTTGGGCGAAGAACGAGCGAGCGAGATAGTGAGCCCTGCACGTGCGGAAGGGCGAGAGGGTGCTTCCAACGGGCTTGCGCAAAGCACCCTTCTAACTGGTCGCTAGCGGTGTGCCAAATTTGAGCGCAATCCGCCCAGCCGTTCCTGAGATCTGGAAGCGGCATTCTGCACGTGCGCACGTGCAAACGGGGTCCAAAATGACTTTTGCACGGCACCCTACTAACTGATCCCCAACCGTGTACCAAATTTGAGCACAATCGGCCCAGCCGTTCTCGAGATCTGGAAACGCCCCCTGCACGTGCGCACGTGCAGTAGCACCCTAACCGCAACACATGGGAATGCATTGCCTGGTAGGTGCCTACCTGTATGCCAAGTTTCAGCGAAATCGCCCCAGTAATTACCGAGTTATTAAAATGGGAACAAATTTGGCACCTCTTATTGTTGTATTTTGCACGTGCACTGGGGGTGACCCACATGCATCGAGAGTATCCTATTTTGGGTAGAAGGGATACTGCTACCCTATAAAAATTACCGCAAGTCAATCGTCCAAGCGGCTGCTGAGATATGAGCCTCTCAAAATCACTACTTTTGCAAAACAGCTTGAACACCCTTGACTTTTCACGTGGCACGTGCCACGACAGTCACTGAGATGTATCAAAAGTAGTCAATTACGGGGTAGAAGGGATGGGGCTACCCAACAAAAAAGACCGCAGGCCAATCGGTCCAGCAGTTGCTGAGATATAAGCCTCTCAAAAGCGTTACAGGCCGGGCCGGGCCGGGCCGCTCATACTGAGATTTTTCCGTTATATTGAAAAGACTCACTTCGCTCGCTGCGCTCGCTCGCTCGTAATAATAATAATAATAAATAATAATAATAAATAATATAATAATAATAAATAATAATAATAATTAATAATAATATAATAATAATAATATTTAGTTATTTATTACTAAATAGTTATTTATTACACTATGATGATACTATATCTGCGCATACATGTACATAGACTAGTACAT